AATATTTTAAAATAGGTAATTTATAATGTATGGCTTAATTATATGGATGTGCAATATCTTAAACACCAAATTTAGAAGCTTTTTTAACCAATCCAAGGTGGTCAGATGGCATTATATCAGAAAGGCAAACACTTTAGAGGATGGTTTCTATAAAAGCATTTATTATATCTATTTCAATGAACAAATAATGTTTTGCTTATTAGCAAAAATATGGCAGAAGTGTGTTCTCATTGGCAAAATTAGTGGCATAAACCTTCCTATGATTTCACCAAATTTATTGAAGAGGTTGCATGAATCTATTAGGCTTTTTTTGCTAATAAATGTTTGCTAAAATATGCCTGTAAGTTTAGCAAAAGTTGGTTTAAGGCTTACTTTTAACATAAGTAGCATTAGTATTTGCTAACATTCTTCAACTTGCATTGGTAACCACCCTTTTCTATCAAAGATGTGTGTGACCAAATGATCACTGGACACTTCTCAACAGATATTTTGTCTTATTTTAATCTCATCAGCACCCTTTGAGTCACTACTCCCCTTATCCATATTAGGAAATTCAAGTTTAGGGGACATTAATCCATAATCATATAGATACTGGGTGGCAGAATCTTATGTGTCTGATTTCATTCCTCTAATCCCCTCACTCACCACTCCCACTCCCACCTGGTCTTTGCCAGGAATGAATGAGTAATTATTTAAAGCTTACAGGTGTGTTCCCTGCAAGTGTATGGGTTAAATAAAGACTTTTTAGCTCACTTTGACAGATAGTTAGAAGTCAAGTACCTATTAAAGTGATTTCATAGTATTTATTGTTGCTTTATATAATTTCAATTACTATTAAAATATTTTTTGTTTCTTTTTTGTACTTTTCATGTTTTAAAACCCATACTTTCTTTTTATCTACCCGATATACTCAGAGAAATTATGAATTCATACTCTGAGGCACAGATTACTTACTTTGTGACATAATTACATGACCAAGCTCTTGAGTAGTCTACTAGAGTTTGACTCTGAAATTATCAGTTGAAACAGGTTTTGAAAAAGTCACAGTTATCTAAAAGTTAATAAAAAGCTCATCTCAAAGCATTGCTACATAGAGAAAAGTAAATGAAATGATAATTTTAGAATTCAAATGCTGAAATGATATATAATATCCATGGGCTGATGATTTAAAGCACATCAGAAACCAGCAGAGTTGAATGGTTTTGGGTTCTATAAAACTACTAGTCAGGCTAAAAATAAAAAAGAAATAAAACACAAGATATAAATACAGAATAATTTTCTTCTTAGTTACCAATAAAATATTACATTTTAAAATGAATTTTATTTTAGATAGTCTAAGCAGAAATCATGTGTCCACAGAAAAGCTCACAAATTGATTTTATTTATTAAAATCTTAAGTTCTTAATAAAAAGATCTTAGATTAATAGAAAAATAATCATTGACATGTTCCTATTTATGCTTCTGAAATGTGTATTTTTAGTTTATTTATTTTTGATGTAGGTAAAAGTTATGGGAATAAAATTATTCATTTTAGAGTAAGCTATTTTTTTGGCAACTCATTATTACTTGGAAGTAATGGTATCCAAAATAAAAATAAAAAAAAGTATGTTTCTACTTCTTTTATTTTAAAATGTTACTTACTTTAGTTTACTCTAATTTCATGTAAAAATAAATAAATAAATATGTAAAAAATAGATAATATAATCAAATATTCAGAGGCTGGCATATTTTTATTATACTATTGTTGCAAACTTGGCTTAAAGAATTATCTGTGCATTACCTTTTTCCATATATATCATTATGTATATGAAAATTATCCTTCCTCTTTAATTAAAATTAAAAATTTAGGGTGAAGAGTTTTATCTTTATTTTTAAAATGTATTTGCTTATAGTAAATTGAATAAAGAGAAATTATTATGTTCTTTATTAATTCAATTAAAGTATATATGGGAGAAATTCTACGAGTTGGGATGATTTTCCAAGTAGTTCGTGTACATCACATCTGGACAAAATGAAATGAGACATAAAAACTGTAAAATCAGGAGAAACCAAGATGGCAGCATAGATAAACACCTGAACTTGCTACCTTGCATAACCACTTCAAAACTACAACTAAAAGACAAAACAGATATCATCCAGAACCATGGGAAGGTTGGCTGAATGAAAATTCTACAACTATTAATAGAAGGAAAGAGAAAAGCACACTGAGACTCAGAGGAGGTGTGGAGCTGTGGAAGTGAAGTGCAAAGGTATGGAGGCATGCTCGGGAGGAAAAGGGCTGGCAACTGAGTATGCTGTTGTCTTTTTCAATCGGGATGGAGACACAAACTTCCAATTGCTCTGAATTCCAGTTCTGGGCGAGTCTGGGGACCCAGACTCATACAGGGAGAAACTGGACTGTCTGGCATCAGGTGGGACTTGAGGGAGGCTTTCTCTCAGAGGTACTTACAGCAATCATTGTTCTTGCATGGTGCCGCGAGACACAGAGACATGGAACCTCTTCCAGGCAGGGCTGACAGTCAGTCATTACTGTTTGCTCCACCCTGGTGATTCCCTGAGACCCATCCCACCCAATTTACAACCCCGCCCAAGCTGTGCACAGAGGCTTTTTCATATGAATGGACTGGCCTTTTGCAATTTAAATTACCTAACAAACTGTAGCTGGGTCAGAGAGTCCCAGAGCTTCCAAAAAAGGCCTAAGGCTTCAGAGCAGCTTGCATTGCTTCAAAGCTGGGCCTCATCTGGGCACTTTCAAACCCCAAACAAAGAGAAGGCATCTGTAGATATCTCTGTAGCTCCTGCTAGGTGGCCTCAGGCAGTGGCTGACTTTACACCTCCTTGGAGATCCAAGAGTCAGTGTACCCAGTGGTCATAGTGAGGCCATCCAGATTACAACTCTTCAGATCCATAAGAGACACACTCAAGGGGCAGACTCAGTGAGCACTAGTGCTCCACTGAAGCAAGCCTTGCTCCATAAGGTGTCTAGCACAGAAGTTCTTCCATTGTAGATACAGCTGAACCTCACAGCCAATTGTCCTGAAGGTCAATTCCTCCCAGTGGGATCAACAACAATAAAGGTTTAACTACAACAAGGCTATGCACACAACCCACAAAGGGTTGCACCAAGAGTGTCCACCTCAGGTTACTGGGCCCTATAGGACACCTAGCATACAAAGCCACTCTATCAAGTCAGGGAAGCAGCCAAAATGTGGAGACAAAGGAACAGGTCATAAATAAAAGAAATGGAGGAAAGCAAACTACTGGATAGAGTTCAAAACCACAGTTATAAGGTTACTTAAGAATCTTCTAGAAACCTCTGAGAAATTTAGTGAGACCCTCAAGGATATGAAAAAGTACCAACAAGAAATTTAGCATACACTGACTGAAATAAAGAATAATGTACAGAGATCCAACAGCAGACTAGAAGATCCCAAGAATCAAGTGAAAGATTTGAAATATAAAGAAGTAAAAAGCACCCAACCAGAAAAGCAAAAAGGATCTAAAAATATGAAGATAGTGTAAGGAGCCTCTGGAACAACTTCAAGCATACCGACATCAGAATTATGGGGGTGCCAGAAGAAGAGAGAGCAAGATACTAAAAACCTATTTAAAGAAATAAAGACAGAAAACTTCCCCTACCTGGTGAAAGAAATAGACTTACCGTATTTTCCGGCATATCAGACAACCCCCTAATTTTACAATTAAAACATAGGTTTAGGCCTATATTCGCTGTATAAGACTACCCCCCACTTCCGAGGCAACACCAGTTCTCTTTTTAATAAACTGCCTCTCTGACTCTGGCCAATCTGAGCAGGCTTTTTACTAGAACACAGTGTAGCTTCGGGTACAGAACATGTATAATTTTCATGCATAAAAAGCCTGCTTGGATTGGCTGAGTTAGAGAGGCGGTCTATTAAAAAAAGAACTGGTGTTGCCTCGGAAGTGGGGGGGTAGTCTTATACAGCGAATATAGGCCTAAACCTATGTTTTAACTGTAAAATTAGGGGGTCGTCTTATACGCCGGAAAATACTGTACAAGACCAGGAAGCACAGAGAACCCCAAACAAAAGGAATCCAAAGAGGAGCACACCAAGACACATCATAATGAAAATGCAAGGGCAAAAGACAAAGAGAAAATCTTATAAGCAGCAAAAAAAAAAAAAAAAAAAAAGCCAGTTAGTTACCTACAAGGGAGCACTCATACAATTGTCAGCTGATTTTTCAATAGAAACTATGCAGTCCAGAAAGGAGTGGCAAGAAATATTCAAATTGATGAACAGAAAGAACCTATAACCAAGATTATTCTACCCAGCAAAGCTATCATTCAGAATTGAAGGTCAGATAAAGAGCTTCACAGACAAGAAAAAGTTAAAGGAGGTCAACACCACCAAACCAGTATTATATGAAATGCTGAAGGGTATTCTTTAAGAAGAGGAAGAAGAAAAATATAAAGATAAAAATGATGAACAACAAATACAAACCTATCAATAAGTGAATCTAAAAATCAAGTGAATAAAAAATCTGATGAACAGAATAAACTGGTGAATATAATAGAATGAGGGGCATAGAAAGGGAGTGGACTGAAAATTCTCGGGGAAGGGAGTGTGGGGGTGTGAGGGTGCAGAAAGAGACTGGACAAAAATTGTACACCTATGGATGAAGACAGTGGCAGGGGGTAAGGACATGGGGTGAGGTGGGGAATCAGGTGGAGGGGAGCTATGGGGGGGCGGGGGGAAGAGGAGAAACTGTAATAATCTGAACAATAAAGATTTATTTTTAAAAAAGGTAAACAAAATATGTTTAAAACCTGTAAAATCACTATTTTTGCTAGTTTAATATCCATCAATACTTAGAAAGCTGTTTGGACACAAGATTATGATTTGTTCCAGGGTTTCAACACTGACTCCAGTAACAGCAGTGCTGGGGGGCAGGGGAAGAGGAGGAGAAAGGGAGAGAGAATGTGCTTAAGGAGAAAACTTCCGGTTATGTTATGAACATACCACTCCATTCACTGATAGCAGCTGGTCTCCTCTTTTGAGGCCTCCGTGTCTTTCCGCCACCCCTCCAGGAATGATGCGAGAGATATAAATGGGGGAATTTTGCTCCTTTCCTCCCATCACGTTAAAACCAAGGCCTTCATCAGTCTTTGGCAGTTCGACTACCCGAGGGTGGGAGTGGCCTTCACTAGCAGCAAAAGCTGCAACTGTTGCCTGAAAGACAAGATGGTAATTTGGTAGTAGAAGGAAGGAAGGCTAACCCTATACTTTGCAGTGGGTAGGTCAGGCAACCCCTCAGATTTTCATAACATTTTTTCCTGTGAAGGAAAGAGCACAAAACAGAGGGGTTTTCTTCATTTAGATGTCATTTTTGATTCCTTTCCCTCGGTAAAGACAAGTTCAGCTATTTCCAGCTTTCTAGACATTATCCATAATGATAATAATTTACCTTGTACAGAAATATCTTTCCCAATTACCTCATATGGAATACCTCCTATTCTTGCACTCCAAAAAGGATTGGTCCATATGCTACCTACATATGGCACATATACTATAATTATTATGTATGTATGGTGACTATGGGCACCTGAAGGGCAGAGTTTGTGACTTCCACTTCTTTGTATGACACTAGTCTAACCTGGTGCTTGCACACAAATCTTCATAAATATTTATTCATTACACTGAGGAACACTTAAATGTATAAAGCTGGTAAATATTGATATATCTATAATTTTGCTATTGGAAAACTGCCTTAGCAAATTTGGTGTTTTTGTGGGGATATCTAAAAGAAAATAAAAGCTATAATGAAATAATAGATTCAAACAGATTATTATTTCTCATCAATATTTCATACTAGAGGCCCAGTGCATAAAATGCATGCACATGGGGGTGGGGTCCCTCAGCCCAGCCTGTGTGCTCTTGCAGTCCAGGAGCCCTTGGGGGAAGGGCTTAAGCCATCAGTTGGACATTCTTAGTAATGCCTTGGAGGTGGGAGAGGCTCCCGCCACCTCCACTCACTGGCCTCGAGCCTGGCTTCTGGCTGAGCAGTGCTCCCGCTGTGGGAATGCACTGACCACCAGGGAGAGCTTTGCATTGAGTATCTGCCCCCTGGTGGTCAGTGCATGTCATAGCGACGGGTCATTCTGCCATTTGGTTGATTTGCATATTAGCCTTCTATATATTATATAGGATTATTTTGAGAGGTCCTCTTCTCTGGCACAGGTTTTATCCCCTGACATTTTACATTAATATTTCAACTACTGTAGCAATGTAGGCACAATGAAAAGTCTATGGTATTCTACCTAGTTGTACAAAATATCATTTCATATGGATATTATCATATTTTTTAATTCATTACTATTAATTTTTGAAAATAAGTTGAAGGAAACAACTTACCATTAGTTCCAACCCTTCGTGGAAATAAAATTAGAGCAATGATGTAGTTTTTATCAAGAAAAGATTCTCTGCCTGCTTATTTTCCACCCCCATTAACCTTTCTCAAGCATAGTTGATTCGATGCCTACTATAAGTGATTCACTCAACACTATAAAAATATTGATTTGCAACTACTGTACATTCTTTTCCACACACAGCATTATCACATCAATTCAGCATTATGCTACTGTCTGCATTTAGTGAAAGATAGTGAATGATATGGAAATAATGGCTTGTTTTTAGCTTCATGCATTTTCTCATGCAAACCTTGTTGTCATGCATAGATTTAATGGCTGACATGGATGCAATGCAGACAGCCCAGAAACAACCAGAAAATATTGGCTATTGCAACATTATGCTGCTATCCTGCTGTTCTACATGAATAAGAAATGAGAATGGTAAAACATTACATAATTCACTTTCCCCTTAATTAAACCATGGAGGGATCATTTTTTCTGTGTGTGTTCCACTTCAGTACAAGCAAAGAATGATGTAATGATAATAGTATCTTCTTTTTGTTTGGGTTAAGAAAACAAACAAACACTGACAAATCTATCATGTTCAGTTACAAAAAGGAAATCAAATAAGAGGTGATGTAACACAAAAAAAATTTAAATGAAAAATTCTAATTTTTTCACCAGTTCTTCTTACACACGATTAAAAACAGAAAAGCTTTTAAAAAGCAAGTGTGTATGCATTGTAATATTCCTGTATTTGAAACTAAGAACTGTATTAGTGATTTTAGTTTTTAACTATCATTTCCTAATGATTTATTTTCCAGATAATTTCCTGATTCTATTGCTATAACATTTCCATTAGTAGGGCCTCTGCAATATCTGGATTCAAGTTTTTACAGAGCAAATGTGGTGACTACCACAAAAGGTGACAGGCCTTCCCTTTAGGTCAGCATCACATTCTTTCAGCTACCCACTGCCCAGCTGAATAAATGGACGAATCCTACATCATTGGTTATCAGGTGAGTTCTCTCAATGATTAACTTAAGTCAGATCTTCATACTTGATCAAATAAATCTTCTTGCACTGAATAGGGAGCAGGTTCTTTTGGATCAGAGGAATGTGTTAGAAAACCAGGTATTATTTCATACAACGAGTGAGTATATTTGCTTGTGCCAAATGGACATTTAGTGAGTTTAATGAAATCATTCTCCTTTCTTAAGCTACAGAAGCAGCAGAAACGTTCAATTTTCCATTAGGATTTTTACCTGGGAAGTAGTACTGGTTCTAGACTCTGGGCTGCCACTGATGTCTAAATTCTCTTACAGTGTACACACGAGAATACCTGAAACACACACGCGCACAATCAATTACTAGATCACTGGGGTTAAGTATATTTTTAAAGTTACTCAAGCCTTACCTTTGCTGTGGCCCTGGCACGGAATTCGGGACAGCCATTAACAGTTATCGTTTCATGCATATATTGATACACCTAAAATGTTCACATAATAAAAGAATGTGTAAGAACATTAAGAATAGTAATTCTTTCATTGCAGACAATATGATACATTTTCATTTCAGTACAAAAGTTCCCTATCACAAAGTAAAATAGATCTGAATCAATTATCCTTATGCCTTGGGCCAAAAATCCCTCCTATTTTTTTTTTTTGGGGGGGGGGGCGGGAGAGGGTTACAGGGTAGAGAATGGAGTTTGGGGCAGAGGAGGCAATCACTTTTATTCATATGTTTTATATTTGGCTATCCAATATTTACCAAATACAGAAACTCACATTTATTCTTCTTCAATATATTATAAAAAATTACTTTGTTGGTAAAGATATTTTACCATTATATATAGCTCTATCGGTAAAATATATGATAAAAATGTACTTCTTGAATCTATGTAACACTTTCAAAATAGTTTTCCAAATCAATATTCCACAAAACCAGGACAACTATCTTTCCTTTGCGTGTTGGTAGGTATGTTACTATTCTTGACACACTCAGAATTCATAGACAAAATTGTATTCAGAACGAAGACAAGTACAGTAAGAGGTCTTTAAAACCAGTAACGTAGAGCAACGTACCAACTATGGGCTCAAATTACCATTTTTTTTTAAGGTGAAATAGTAAGAAGGAAGTATAATCTGGATGCAGAATGATGCTGAAGAAAGAATAAAGGTTATGCTGACTAATAGATCTATGTTTAAGCCTTACATTAATATAATTGGGTAATTATTATTATTATTATTTAATATTTTCTACATTATTTGGCACTGATCTTTTGGGAAGAAATTTCCTAGGACATGAAGTTCATCCACACTTCATGAGAAGAATTGATCGGCCGGCTGATGTGATTCAGTGGTTCAGCATTGACCCATGAAACAAGAGGTCACTTGTTCAATTCCTGGTCAGGTCACATGTCTGGGTTGCATGCTCAGTCCCCAGTAGGGGGCATGCAGGAGGCAGCAGATTAATGGTTCTCTCTCATCATTGATGTTTCTGTCTCTCTCTCCCTCTCCCTTCCTCTCTGAAATAAATAAAAATATATTAAAGAAATTTTTTAAATTGCTGTTGTGAGAAAGACACTAGTAGGCCCTCCTAACCCAAACTGCTCATGACCCAGTTCTGTCCAATGAAAATTCAACTGAAAGTAATGGAGAGACTTCTGTGAAAGTTTTGCTCTCTTAGTACAAGTTCTCTTTCTTTTCCCTTCTCTACTTCTTGTCCTAAGTGTGGATATAATGAATCCTGGCAAGTAGCTGCCTTTCTCTCAACTTGCAACCAGGAAAAATAGTCCTATATGTTTAAGTCACTAAAGTTCAACTTTTTACTAATTTCAGCCAAGAGAATTCCTAATTGTTATAGTATTCAAATAAATCATATATAGAAATATGTTGTCTTTCAAGTTGGATATCTTCTATCCCTATCAGATTCCAAAACTTATGTTATAATTTTCTCATTAGGAATTGGTGCAGATTGTTAACCTGAGGGCTTAGAAACTGATAAAGGATAGACTAAAATTGTAGTTTAATAAAAGGGGTGTAGAGACTAACTCTTTGAAAAACAAAAGACAAATTGGGAGAAAATTATTGCAAAACACATAGCTGATAAAAGTCTCATATCCAGAACACATAAAGAATTCTCCAAAGTCAATAATAAGAAAACAACCTGATTAAAAATTGGGTAATGTGTTTGAACAGGCATGTCATCAAGGAAGATATATGGGTGACTAATATAAAAAGATATTCAACATAGTCACTAGGGAAAAACTGAAATTAAAACAATAACTAAGTACATCTACACACTTATTAGAATGTCTAGTTTAAAAAAATACTGACAATACCTAATAAGTACGAGAATGTTGAACAACTATAACTCAAATATTGCTGATTGGAATGGAAAATGGCACAGCTACTTGAGAAAACAAGATAACAGTTTTCTACAAAGTTAAATCTGCACTTACTATAGGATTCAGTTATCTACTTCTAGCTACTTATCTAAGATAAATGTAAATGTATGTTCATTAGCCATGGTCATGTCATTAGAGTGTCGGCCCGAAAGTTTGACTCTCAGTCAAAGGCATGTACCTGGGTTGTAGGTCCCAACCTTGGCTCTGGTTGGGGTGCATGCAGGAGGCAACCAATCGATGGGTCTTTCTCAGATTATGTTTTTTTCTCTCTCTCTCCCCTCTGTCCCTATTCCCCTCCTTCCCTCTTTTCCACTCCTGATTAGCAATGGGGAGAAAAAAAAATTTCCTCGGGCAATAATTAACAAAAACATTAAAAAAAAGTGTATGTTCATTAAAAATTAGATATAAGCATATATAGTAGTTTTATTTATCATTGCCACAAACTGAAAATAACTCAGAGAGCTTTCAACTGTGAATGAATAATTAAATGCAAGTATATCAATTAATACAATAGATATTGGTGATGGTTACGTGATAGTAGGTGATTATCAAAACTTTTAGAACTATATACTGAAAAGGGGAAATATTACTCCATGTTAATTATACTTCAATAAACCTGACTTTTTAAAAGTGAAAATATTCAAAACTTAATCATAATTTTGGAAACTAAAAATAAGAGCTTTGAAACACAAAGACCTATATATATTTAAGAAGGTTTTGATATAACAAAATGATGAGATTAGCCCTCAATGTTCAAAATTTGTAAATGTCAAAGCAACAGATATATTTAAACGGTTGGTTATATGTCTTTCAAATATAGGATGCTCCAGATTTTGTGCTACTTCATTATGAATGGGCTGGCTGCTAAAATGTCAACAGAATTACAATTAGGATTAAATAAACTCTTCTATATCAGTGACTGGCAAAAATAAATGAATAAATAAATAAATAAATAAACTTTTCAACAACATTGTTAAAAATGAAAATGACATTAGACCAAGTTACCTCAAGGGAGAAAAAAAAAAGACATTATCAAAATTATTAGAGAAAATTAATAAAAAACAAAATCCAAATGGGAAAATTATATTGCCCAAGTCCTACCATATTATCATTGGGAAAATTACATAGCCCAAGTCCTACCATACTATCATCTTCATTAAGGCTTACTAAATGGATAGATCCTATGAAAAAGCAAACAAGCCCTGGCAAGGTGTTTTGGTTTGTTGCAGTATTGTCTCCATGAACCACAGTTGTGGGTTCAATCCCCAGTGTGGAAACATACAAGACTACAAGACTCAACCAATAAATGCATAAATAAGTGAAACAACAAAATTGATGTTTCTCTCTCTCTCTCTCTCTCTCTCTCGCTCTCTCTCTCTCTCTCTCTCTCTCTCTCTCTCTATATATATATATATATATATATATATATATATATCCCTATATAATAAAAGGCTAATATATATATATCTATATATATATTTATATATATATAGATATATAGATATAGATATATATCCCTATATAATAAAAGGCTAATATGCAAATAGTCTGAATGGCAGAACAACTGGTACCGAACAACTGGTTGCTATGACATGCAATGACCACCAGGGGAATGCATGGAACATGCAGGCATCAGCTGCGGTGGGATGGTGTAGCAGATGAGTAGGGTACCAGACCAAAATGGTTTTCCAGTAGCTGTCATCAGGTCGAGCTTCTGGTGAATACTAAAAATTCTTTGCTCCCATATGCTGCTGGCACCAGAACCACCACTCACACCCGCTGCTGGTACCCAGCACCGGTCATTATCACTTCACACCATCAGTGGGTGTGAGTGGCAATGTTGGCCCTGATCTCTCCTGAGGTCTTGTCCACCTAACCTTGCTCTTGAGGATCGATTGGGGTCACAGCTGCTGCTCAAAGCCCCTGCTAGCACTGGCCCCAATTGTGCCTTCAGCAGGTGTGAGCAGTGCCATCAGCATGTGGGAGTCGAGGCAGTGGGAGTGGGGCTGCAGGCAGACAGGTGATTGAGGGCATGTTGGGAGGAGCTGGGCGGGGCCGTGGAGGATGGGCCAAGACTCGCTCCTGTGCCTACCACAGCATTGCAACCTCACAGCCCACAGTTCCTTCCAAGGTGCATGAATTCATGCATTGGGCTCCTATTATATATATATATATATATATATATATAATAGGAGCCCAATATATATATAGCAAGCAAGGGTGATAAGCTTATCTTTAATAAGGGCCTAATAACCAGAAAGGCTTGGCTCAGTGATTGAACATGGACCTATGAACCAGGAGGTCACAGTTTGATTCCTGGTCAAGGCACATGTCCAGGTTGCAGGTTTGATTCCCAGTAGGGGGCATGCAGGAGGCAGCCGATCAATAATTATCATGTTTTTATTAATGTTTCTATTTCTCTCTCCCTCTCATTTCCTCTCTGAAATCAATAAAGAAATATATTTTTTATAAAGCAAGCAAGAATGTACTTTGTGCTAATAAAAAACAATGTAAATAGTAAGACTGATATTTACATCTATACTTAGCTATAATTTCAAATGGGCTTATTGTTTTTCAATTTGGAGACTTGGAAAAGAGTTAAAAAAAAGTCATTTGATGGAGTATCTAACTTTATTTTATTTTTTTTAAGTTTTTTTTTCATTTATTTTTTATTAAGTTATTATATGGGTGCATATCTTACCATTGTGCCCCCCTCCCCCATACATTCTCTCCATCACCAGAGTTTTTTATCCCTTGGTTATGCTTATGTACATGCATACAAGTATCTAAAAATTTAAATATTTTCATAACAAAAGTAAAGATTTAGTCCCTCCTCATCTTTTTATAATTACAGTCAACCTGAATGTTTTTTTTTTTTATAACATTTACAATATTATACCACTACATTTTTTACCACAATACTAGAGGCCTGGTGCATGAAATTCATGCACTGGGGTGGAAGGGTAGTCCCTCAGCCCAGCTTGCACTCTCTCCAATCTGGGATCCCTCAAGGGATATTTGACTGCCAGTTTAGGCCCAAACCCTGTCAGTTGCACATCCCTCTCACAATCCAGGACTGC